TACTATTTGCATTTACTAAGCTTAAAGGAAAACAATGAATAAGCAAATATCAATTCTAGGTTTGGGAGAATCTTAAGCAAAAGATTTTGTTGTAGCACATCAATTAAAAACAACAACAATAAAAACGTGGAATAGAAATAGCTATAATCTTAAGGCTCTGTGATTTTTACTGATAGTTTGTATAGACTGATATCCAATAATCAATGCGTCTCTGGTATCTGAGACCTACATGTAACTCCAACATCACTGACAAAGAGATATAGGTGTGAGATTGGGGCATAGAAGATGCTTGGAAAATGCAAGAAGTAATAGATCAGAGTCAAAAATTATTTTATCACAAATAGAGAAAGTATCTGCTGAGGAATGTGGTCTATTCTAAACACAGGAAAATTACTTAGTCATTCACTTTTACACTAGCATTACATTTTGGAATTGGCAGGAGCAACAAGCTACAATCCATATAAAATCAGTTACCTTCTTTAGTTATGCTAAAATGACAATAGTTTTAAATTTCCTGGAACTACATACAATTTATGATCTAGTAAGCCAGGGACCTGTAAGTCTGCTCCCTTTATAATACTGTGAGGCGGAGGCCATTGAGAAGGAAAACTGTCAGAGATGATGATTTTGTCTTCCTTTACCTTTGGGTCCTGACAAACCTTGATCTGATCTTTGGCTAATTGACATTCCTATTACTTCTCAGAATCTCAAATGTTCTCTCTCCAATGCTCTGGTTTCTAAAATTCAAAGTAACTTTAATGCTTATAGAGGTGTTTGCATGCCATGAATAGTCTCTCTCTCTCTCTCTCTCTCTCTCTCTCTCTCTCTCTCTCTCTCTCTGTGTGTGTGTGTGTGTATACTTTCCTATCAGCCCTATTACTTTGTATTTTGACTAAGATTTTATTTTCCCTTAGTCTCTTTTCTGTTAATAATGACTTTTGTTGGAAGACTTTCTTCTAGTCTGCTTGGTGACTGTTGCTCTTCCGTTTTAGAAGCATACTAGCTCAGCTGTAAGAACACACAAGGTTAAATACAGTCAACCTTCCCTCTGTGTAGAAGTCAAACCAAAACCAACTTAGTGTAAATAAGTTGAACCTCACATTTTGCTTTTAAAAGTCAGATTGGGAAAGGTTTATGCAGTTATTTGGGACATTAGAAGAGGAGACTGCATAGTCAAAGGGATTTAAAAGAATAAACAGAATCTAATTATTAAAACATAGTTTTGTTTTATTTGACTGTAAATATATATATATATATATATATATATATATATATATATATATGTGTGTGTGTGTGTGTGTGTGTGTGTGTGCGTGTGTGTGTGTGTTTATAATATGTGCACCTGTCCTCACAGAAACCAGATGTCAGATACCCTGTTTTATCACCCTGAACCTTATTTCCTTGAGACAGGGTTTCTCTCTAGACCTGGAATTAGGCTGGCAACCATTAAGGTTCAATGATTCTATTTCAGCTTCCATGAGTGCTGGCTCTTTTGTGTGTGTGTGTGTGTGTGTGTGTGTGTGTATGCTGGGATCCAAACTCATGTCTTCAGGGTTTATGCATCAAGTGCAGATATTCACTGAACCATTTCTTTTCAGTACAGTGTGTGTGTGTGTGTGTGTGTGTGTGTGTGTATGAATGTATATGTATTGAAGCCAGCATACTTTAAAGAAAAAAGTATTAAGATACAAAATGAAACTCAAAAACTCAACTCAAATGCAAAATGCAACTCAAAGAAAATAGAATTTAATTCATAAACATTGACAATATGAGAAAAATGCCATTGCAAATAATTAGTAATAAAAATGAATTTACAAGCATGTTTATAAACCATTCCAGGGCTAGTGTAGGATTATTAAATAAGAAACACATGTTTTCATGTGCTATAAATACAGTTATTATATATTTGATACTTTCCACTATTTTATATAGTGTGGTCAAAGGGACGAAACTCTCTTTCCTTGGGTTGAGATACTTTTTCCATTGCTTCTGTTCTTCTGTGTAGTACCTCCTCCCCATTAACATCATGTCATCATTTTAAACAGAATGATAGAAAAAGGACTCAGTAATTTTTAGCATAACAGATATTAGCAAATTGAGTTTTAAATCTTGAAAGCATTGTGGTTAAATGGAAATGTAAATACTTTTAAAATTTTTTTTATTGGTTATTTTGTTATTTACATTTCAAAGTTTATCCCCCTTCCCAGTTTCCTCTCCACACACCCCCATCCCCTCTTCCCTCCCCATCCCTTTATGAGGGTGCTCCCCCAACTGCCCCTGCTCCTGCCTCAGAGGTCTAACATTCCCCTATCCTGGGGCGTTGAGCCTCCATAGGACCAAGGGGCTCCCCTTCCAGTGATGCCAGATAAGGCAGTCCTCTGCTGCTTGTGCAGCTGGAGTCCTGGGTAGCCCCTGTGTACTCTTTGGTTGGTGGTTTGTCCCTGGTAGCTTTGGTGGGGGGCGAGGGTCTGGTTGGTTGATATTGTTGTTCTTCCTATGAGGTTGCAAACCCCTTCGGCTCCTACAGTCCTTGGCCTAACTTCCCCATTGGGAAATGTGAATGTTTTTTACTTGTGACTGTAGTTCCCTGTGTTCAGGAAGACAGTCTTTCCACTCTCACGACACTTCTTGTTTTTCAGGTGACTTGTTAAAAAGCTTTTTCCTTAGAGAGCCATCCTGAGATGATGACCGAGAGATGCCTGAGAGACAGTTGAATGGTTAAGAGCACTGGATGCTCTTCCAGAGGTACTGAATTCAATTCCTGGCAACCACATGGTAGCTCTCAACTACCTGTACTGGGATCCAATGCCCTCTTCTGGTGTGTCTAAAGATAGCTAGAGTATATTCATAAACATAAAATAAATAAATGATTCTTAACAAAACAAAACAAAACAAACAAAAAACTTCCCTTTCTTCTTATTAAGGAAATCTGTAAATTAATTAAAATTTTACAAAATATTTCAAAGCATGTGCTGAGGACAGATCTCCCGAAGAAAACAGATCTAAGTTTATTTTTTAACTAGCTATGTAATCTTTGAATTTTTTTTCCTGGATGTCATCGTTCTCAACTTCCTGAGTTAGGAAAATTCAATATACTAATTAGTTGAAGGGATTAAGGAAAATATGATACAACTCCCTGGTACTTAGCCTAAAGCTCAATATTTCAGTTACTTTCTCATGTTTTCTTTATGGACATCAAGAACAAGTCATTGTTAGGAACATCACTGTCTATTTTGTGACATGTGGCTTGATACATGTATTTAGAGAAGAGTTCAATTACCAGTGGAATATTCTAAGGGATGTGAACTTTAAGTCTGTATAGGTTCCCAAGAACATATTCTCAGAAGCAAACATCACTTTCCCTGCACAGGTAAACTTAATCTTGTTTATAGAGGACAGTGCTTTCTACTTTCTGAAATTCTTTACCGGTAGTATGAATATTTCAGTTTCAACGTATGAAGCAATGTATGTATATTTCTAAGCAAACATTTGCCTGCCACTAGTATCTGAGGGAAACAAACCACATTATTACCAAAGATCTTTGGTAGATGATCTAAGATAGCAAAGCTTCTTGTAGATGTTTTTATTTTATTTTATTTTATTTTATTAATGAAAAAGCATTAGCTGTGATAGAAAAGGGGCATCCCAGGGATTAACTTTGACATTTAATTTTTTTTAAGGTGAATTTGAAGACAGATTGGTGAAAAAAAATCTCTTGGTTCTTTTAAAAGGATTAGTAGCAGTGTTCTGACCTGAAATTTAGGTCTTGTGATTTCTTTTAAAGACACTTCTCACTTTGTGAAAACATTTCTAGTAGTGGCTTTACAAATAAAATTAATCTTAATTGGATACAAACCATTAAAATTTAAGAATATTTTCCTTGGAACCTATACATACTGAAGTTCATATTCCTTAGGTGATTCCACTGATAATTGAACTCTAAATACACGTAACAAGCTACATGTCACAAAATATTTAGTGATGTCCATAATAATGGCCTGTTCTTAATGTCCATAAAGAAAACCTGAGAAAGTCCTTGGAAGACCTATAAAGGATCACTTTTACTGACATATTAATTATCTGAAAATGGTGAAATGTACCTCGCTGAAGAATGAAACCCGTCCTTTTGTAATATGTTCTAGGTTCATTTTGCATTTCCTTGAAACATTTAAAGTTTCAATGACCATACATTTAATGCTTAGTCCTGCTCAGGGAAGAGTTCAGTCAGTTTTACGGAGGCAAAGCTTTGTGTTCATCTATGTATATTTCAAGAATTCTCCACGTGGCTTAGTTGAAAGCATGCTTTGACTATTGCAAGAGGTAAGTCAGTCTTTAGCTGGTAGAGATCCTTTCAACAAGAATCTGATACGCAGGCACAGACCTAAAGTAAGGATTAGCTTCCTAATACCACTTTATACAACCTGGCCAGAATCCTTGAGGCTGTCAGGACTCAGCTGAGAAGCAAAGTCCGAATGCTCTTCTCTCACAACATATGTAAATAGATGGCACGGGGTTAAGGTGTGTGTGTGTGTGTGTGTGTGTGTGTGTGTGTGTGTGTGTGTAGGGGGGAGGATGCCCAGAATCCTTTACCTCTGGCTAGACTTCTTACAGATTCCAGCAAAGTAGCAGAACAGGACCATTGCAGTTGTTATGCTTGCCTTTTTGCTGAGTGGATTAGAAGACAGATGTTAGAATGGCGGGTGTGTCGGAGAGGGAATGTCCAATTTGTCTTGTTGGCTCTACGTGGGGCTTCCCCAGATCCACCCAACATCCCGCTGTCGGCCTAGCTCTGTGTGCTGGGAGGACGCAGCGGGCAGCCGCAGTGGCCTCTGCGTCATGGGGTGGTGGGGAGGAGAGGCGGTTCCCAGCCTGCAGACCTGGCTAGGTACTTGGCGCCGGGTCCCCGCCCGCAGCCACCCCTTCTCCCCCGCAGCCTGTCGAGGGACGCAGCACGAGCGGGCTGGGCACGTGGGAGCCTCCGTCACACCCTCACTCATACACACACACACACACACACACACGCGCGCGCGCACACACACACGCACACACACACATACACACACTCACATAACACGCACTCACACACGCACGCACACACATACACACATACACAGGCGCCCCAGGAACCACACGCCAGCATCCCGTGCAATATCCCTGGCAGACACAGGCGCTCACGAGTTTCTCGGTGCCAGCTTGCAGGACAGCGACTCCCGAAACCAAACCTGCCCTTGACAAGCTGTTTCTGTTCTCCAGACAAGCTCCTCTGGGGCCTCCCGCACCATCACCTGGATCCGACCCTTTCGCGACCTAGGAACCTGGAAGCTGTAAGAGGTGCTGGCTCAAGAAGCACCAGAGGTAAAGTCTCACTCTGGTGCTGAAGCACCGCCGGGGGTAGGGTGGGGCTCTCTATTAGACATGCAGGAGTCCGGCGCCAAGAAAGACAGCAGGATGCACGGATGGAGCTCTAGAAACACTCAGGCTGGATCCTGGAATGGGAGAAGGAAGGGCGATGGGAAACGTGGGAGGGTGACTCTGGTTTCTGAGGATATCCTCTGGCTCTGTGTCCTGCACCTGTGCAAACTGGCGTTCGGGTGGTGGGGGTCCGAGGCGGCACTTGTTGGGAGAAGCACGTGGTTCGAAACGTGCCGCCATCCTTCCTAACCTAGGTGGAAACTGCCTAGTGCATCCGTGGAAACCGGCTCTTTTCCAAATCAAGTTGGGGGTTGAAGGGCGGGGTTCAACCGGAGCAAGTCCGAGAGGAAAGTTGATATCAGGGCAGAGAAGGGGAAAATTGGGATACAATATTTCTACGAGTGGGCGGTGAGGCTGGAGAACAGCGAGCCTTCTTCTTGAGGGCTTGTGGATCATTTGCAACAGCAACACAGACTACCAAGGCAGTGTGTTCACGTGATCCGGATTTGATTCTCTCTGACTTGAGACATCTTGTGAAGGGCTGTCCGAAAACCGACCTTTAGGAGTACACTTGGCACGTGGCTGCGAGAGAAAGCGCAGCTTGGGGCTTCTCTGCACATCCTGGAATCAGAATGAGTGGCAAAGAGGGTGGCGGAAAGGATGGTGGCATAGGGATCTTAAGGAACGACTGGAGAGGGACTAGGCATCCTTATGCTTCTTTCTACATAGTTGGTCCGCTTGGCCGGTCTGTGTGCGGTAGCACACTGAAGCGAAAGCGATGCACTTTTAACTTGTGCATCAGCCTGTAGCAGAGGAATGAATCAGAATCTCAGAGGGGTACTTAGGGGGCAAGGGAGACCCACCCGCTTTCAAAGCCTCCATGCGTGGGAGTTCTTTTCCCGTGAGCTGAGACGTGTCATTGAATGTGCTCATTAGCATAACTAATCTGAGAAGCATTTGCAGCATTCTGGCTTCGCTCTTTCCCTTTTCATCCTCCATCCTAGTGGAGAAAGGCTAGAGTAAGACTGGGAGGGGCCTGGTGGCCAGCGTGGTGACGTAGTAAGTGTTTGGGTGCTTATGCAAATAGGACTGCAGCCATTGCCTCTGGTCCACCCTCCTAGTCTCCTCAGACCTTAAAGGTATACCCTTTCCTAGGGTTGTATTCTTCCGTGAAAAGCTGAAAAAAATGAGAGAAATGAAGGCTTTCCTTTGGGTACCATTTGGGTTCCTTTTAGTCTTCTCTGTAAAAGGAATTATATGACTGCCTGTGCTCAGTAGCTTTCTGAAAAGCCAGGACCAGAGCAGTCCCAGCAAGCTTCAAACCGCCCCCCCCCCCGCCCCAGTATCTCATTTTAAAAATACAGACATAATTACATCTTTTCCAGGTGGTACTACCATGGAGTTTTTTAGGGACTTTGTAAATACTCGAAGGAATGAAGGTTCTTGTTTGTTCATTTAGAGTATGTGTATTTCTCTCCCACTCAGATTATTTTTATATTATCCTATTAAGTTTAAAATTAAACCAATTAACTAATTTTCTGCAAGTGAAACTTGAAGTACATTCCTTTTGTGTTGCTAGCAGACATGAGTTAACAAAATTTGAAAGAAAGTTAGTGGCTCTGTTGATTGCTAACAGATATATTATTGCTCATTACCTATGGGTTTAAGAATCACCCACTATAATTCTAATATCTACTAATCCAAGTTGGCATTTTTAATGGAATTTAAAAGCTATTCATACATATTTCTGGAAGATGAGTGTTTTGTCATCTAATTAGCAATAAATAGTTTTAAAACTAAATGATTTAGCTCTTTGGAGATACCACAATAAAGACAGGATGCCTTTGTATAAATTACTAAAACATCTAAAAATAAGTCAAAATCGATACTACAACTTGAGCTTTGTTGTTATCACCATGCACTTACCCAGTCTTAGCATATACATGTTAAAAAATGTTTCTCTGTCTTAAAAAAATGTGAAATAGGAGGTACATTGATGTTTCCCTAAAGACTGGAGTTATTACGCAGCCAGGTTAAAAACATCGTTTCCTTAGGGTAGCAAAGCTGAAAGAGACTTAAGTGGTTATTAAAACCTCTTGGTTTTTCCTCTCACTTCTTCATGTATCACTCAGCTTTTAGTGATTATGTTAATTTTTTTACCACTAAACGTTCAGGATTGGATATAATGATATATTAATATGCAGTCTTGGCTTTAAATGATTTCTGAGCAGATGGAACTGTTCAAAAAAAAATCCTTTGGCATAGTCTGATACCTGAAAGTTATGGGCATTTTCACAGCTAGAATTTTTTGATTCCATCTTAATTTATTGATAATGTTACTGCTTTGATGGTTTTTAGTAATTCCTGCTAAACACTTTATGCTAAAACGTGAGTTGTGATCAGTAGTTATCATTTTCTCTGAAAATTAGCAACCCTTACAATAGGGTTGCAGGATAGTTTTTAATAAACAGTATTACTTAATATAGGAGAGAACTACTTTAGCCTTGATAGCCAGTTTTTTTTTTTAATTTTATATTAAAGCAAAAATCTGCCCTCTGAGTATGAGTGAATGTTTTCTCAGGGTACAATGTTCACTCGGGAAGCTTTCTCATGCATCAGACTGGAAACAATCAGAAAGCTGACTCAGAGAGCGTAAGAAGACACAATAGTACTCGGATGTCTTGTGTTGTTGTGAAAAGTGAGAAAGTTTTATAAAGAACTACTTGGTAATGTTTGTCAGAATTCTAAAATTAGTTTTGATCAATCAGTTTCCCTTCCAGGAATTTATTCTACAGGTTCATAAATGCAAGATACGCATAACGATTTATTGGAATCTTCTAATGTAAATGATCAGATACAACATTTGTCTATAGACACAAGGACTGTTGTGTAGTTATTGAAATAAGTCTACTATGTTAAGAACAAAAGTGGTGACTTTTCACATCAAAAGAAAAGGAAATACAGATCTAGAATTAAATAGTTGCATGAAAAGAAACAGGTCAGAGAAGAAATAATTGTAAAAATGAAAGATGTTAATAGAGACTCCCAGGAGAAAAGTATTCAAGCAGCAGTCAAAGCAATCAACGAAGTACAGAAGTCAAAGCATATTTAGCCTTATTACTGTTGTTCCCAAATTTGCAAAGAATTTACTCTTTCAATAATTTTTTATCGTATTCAAATGACATCATTTCTCCTACCTTTTCCTTCTTCCAAACTCTCCCTTACAGATTTTTGTTCCCTTTCAAATTCATGACTTTATTATTATTTTTAATTGATTGTTGTTATATACATACATACATACATACATACATACATACATACTTATCAGCCTGTACAATATTAGGTGTATGTATGTTTTTAGGGTTCATCATTTGGTATTGGATAACCAACTGGAGAGGTCTTCTTTGGGTAAGACTATTTCTTCTGCTCCACTCTCAGCCCAGTCCCAATGGCTACATCTACAAAACAAAACACTCCTATACCTCAGGCTTAAAGAACCTTGAGAAAGAAGGGATAGAAAAAAATTAAGAGCCAGAGGATAAGGGAGTTTGCTTTAAGGTTGTTTCTGCTGGTAATGTCAGAAGCTATATCCACAAAATCAGCAACATGACTACCCAAACACGAGATAAACAAGGACACAAAAATAGACATGGTAGTCGAGGGAAAAGCTCACAAGACATAATTTTTTTTTAATAATAAAATTTTGTAGGAAAAAAGTTTAGATGTAATTTTTTTAACTATCTCCCTCACAGTTTCATTTAGAGTAGATGTAGTTGAATTGTTGAATTTAGTTAGGTATACAGTGACACAAAAACAAACACACAAACAAACAAAAACATTCAGGGATGTATAATTTTAATTATGAGACACTTACTGAATCATATGTAGTTGTTAGGAAATGACAGAATGTGTTTATGAGTTAAAACAACAACAGCAATAACGAAACTTTCTTAACACTGTTTACTTCTTTTATAAAGTTATACTATAAAATCATTCTCAAAATATTGACCTTGTGGGCTGGAGAAATGGCTCAGTGGTTAAGAGTACTGACTGCTCTGCCAGAGGTCCTGAGTTCAATTCCCAGAAACAACATGGTGGTTCACAACCATCTGTAATGGAATCCGATGCCCTCTTCCAGTGTGTGTCTGAAGACAGCTACAGTATACTCATACAAATAAAAAATAAATACATCTTTAAAAAATATTGACTTTGCTATAATCATATTATGGAACCCTCCCATCACACAGAAAATCCTGGGCCTTCGTTTCATGATGAAAGCCACTTCATTCCATTTTAAGAATGTCATGCAATAGAACCATGCAGTAAACATCGCCTTTCTACACACACACACAATTGTCTTCATTCTTACTCCGATTTTTAATTGTACTAGTAGGATGCTACACTGCTTAGATGCACCGGAGTTTAAGCATTTACTCACAAGATGATGACATCTGTGTTATTTCAAATCTGGTGCTATTGTGAGCAAAGTTGCTAGGGTGATCCCTGTACAAGTTTTTATGGAACATACCTTTTAATTTATCTGGGTCAGGTGCTTAAGAATGTAATTGCTAAGTTATATAGTAATTGCATGCTCAGTTTTGCAAGTTTCCTTAAGAGAAGTTGCCCAACTGTTTTCTGGAGTAGTGGCCATAGTGTACATTCTCACAAAGGATACATGAATGATCCACTTTGGATTTTGAAAGAATTTCGCCTTTCTGACTGGTATGTAGTGGTATTTCTTTGTGGCTTTGTTTCCCTGATTGAGGTTAACATTGAATCTTAGCTCACGTGTTTGCCCTCCACATAACATTGAGTGGAATGATCCAGTAGTTTCTTCGCCCACTTTGTACTTTGTATTTTTAATGAGTGAGTTGAAGGACCTTTTATATACCCGAAGTACTAGAGTTTTTCTCATTGTGTGGTCTTCAAACATTTTCTCCGGT